AGAAACATCGATCAGCTGCCTCCTGCACACCTCCTACTGGGGATGTGCCCGCAACCAAGGTACATGCCCTTGACCGGAATCGAACCTCCAGTCCACAGGCTGATGCTCCATCCACTGGGCCAAACCGGTTAGGTCCCCACAGATTCTTCCTTACACTGCAGAAGCCCAGGGGGCTGGGCACTCTTCTAGACAGTCTTAGGGCCTTGGTCAGCAAACTGTGGTTCATGAGCCACATGCGGCTCTTTGGCCTCTTAAGTGTGGCTCTTCCATGAAATACCACGTGCTGGCGCGCACGTACAGTGCAATTAAAACTTCGTGGCCCATGCGCAGAAGTAGGTATTTTGTGGAAGAGCCACACTCAAGGGGCCAAAGAAAACGCATGTGGCTCGTGAGCCGCAGTTTTCCAAGCCGCAGTTTGCCGACCACTGGACTAGACTTAGGGAAATCAAGACCCTGAAGATCAGCTGCAATAAAAGTGGAGCGGACCCTGTGAGGTCTTATTAGTTAAACCTTGGATACACCACCCACAAGTAACACCTGTGACCCTTAACTGGTCTTTAATTACTTTTGAAAAGAACAGGAGGACCGAGACCCCAGCTGGCCAGGAGAAGACCCAGACATCTCAGAATGCTTCTACCCAGGAGTCCTGACTAGGCCTGTACCACCCTACACTGTTACTGTAGTTGGAGTTACCATATTAACCTAATCATTTCACTAAACTCTCCACTTTAACTTGCTATTGTTTTGGTTACACACTGTGCTATACTTTCCTGATTGTGATATTTGCTTGCATGGTCCTAGTATTCTGCTTTGGTATGCTTTCTTGAACTTTTTTTTGAAGAATTAAACCACATCCTTTGTCCCCTTATCAGCAGTAAGCAGCTAGAGCAGTCACTGCCCCTATTCTGCACGATTGAGAAATGAACAAAAAGGTGGGTTTGTAACTTAAGAACCAGCTCAAACTGGCCCTATCCTGTTTCTTTCAAGATACTGAGTTGTTTTTCAGAGACAACAAAACAAAACCACAAGTCATTCTTGAGAAGCACAAGTATAGGAATTTTGATCTCCAATCACCCGCAGAGGTTGTCCACCCAACCTTCACCAAAAGCAAAGCCCTCAGAACCTAAAAGGGCTGTGGGACATTTACACTGCGGAATACCGTGCAGTTAGGAAAAAGAGAGGCCTCTTACCCTTTGGGACAGCATGGAGGGGCCTGGAGAATACTATGCGAAGTGAAATAAGCCCATCTGAGAAAGACAAGTATCACATGATCTCACTTATTTGTGGAATCTAATGAACAAAATGAATTGACCAACAAAATAAGACCTGAAGCAGGGAGGCATGGCACAGACTGACATACTTCGATGTGGGGTTGTGGGGATGAGAAAAGATAAACCAAAGAACTTATATACTTACATGCACAGCCCATGGACACGCACAGTAGGGTAGGGAAGACCTGGCGGGGGGGGAGGGAGGACGGGAAGGGGATGTAAGGGTAGAAAATGGGAGGTATCCGTAATACTATCAACAATCAAAATATATAAAAATTTTGAATGTAAATTGTAATTGAAAACAATAGTTTTTTTATTTTTTACGAAGGACCTGATCATGGCTGGAACCCTTTTGGAGGCAAAGGTCTGTTGTCCAGGAAGATCTTGTGCTGAAACCTCTTCAATTTTGCCCCAAACCCCAGATCAGGGAGACAGACGCGAGCTTTGCTCTTGCCT